GCCTTCATAATGTGACCACACTCCCAAAATAAAATGTGGGGCTGAAACACAGGCAGATGGAGTTTCTAAATAGTCTGTGGTGTCTTCCAGACCCCATGTGCCTCTGGGAGAAACCTGAGTTATGGAAACTGCCATTGCAACATTGGACATGAATTAGAGAACTCTCCCATGTTTTTGCAAATCTGAGGCTTGGAGTCTAGTATGAAACCAGCTTAACACCAGCTTTATTGGCCACGGGGTGTTCATACTCAATGTACAGCAGCAATGCTATCACCAGGCTATTGCTTAAAGAAGGGGGAAGCAACAATAGTCACCTGTGTCCCAGTGAAACAGAAATATTACTCAGTCCACATAGCCCTAACTGCAATGAGCAGTTACCTAACTGAGCAATTACCTCAGTGTACTCCCAAGACAGTGCAGGGCAATACTTGATCCAGCAGAACATCAGTCAAGATGTCCAAGTGTCTGTCTTCTCCCCAGCATCACCAACATCTCCCCAGCCTATGGCAGCTTCCCATGTCATGTGACCCCACTGTGGGTTAGGACTGGATTATACCAACATGCCTTATTTCTGGACCATGGTGCTGGATTAGTGAGAACTAACACTGGGAAGATTCTAATGGCCCCTGTCATCAGGCATACTTGTGGTGGAGCCTTGGTAAGGAAAAATACACATGACCCAGCCTGTAAACATATATTCTACATAGTATCACCACAGGCTGGGATCAGATATCTTGGACCACAAGTCTAACTCAGCAATAGGAAACCACAGAATGTGAACCTTTTTCTTAACCAACTATTGTGCCAGTCTTTGTGGAGTGGGGGCTCAGGGTATGACAGATCATGTCACCTTTGGTGACCAAAGGAGTGAAACAGAGCCTGGGCCTGGTCCACTGCTGATGATCCAGAGCCAAGCAGACTCCTGCTGAGTCAATTTCAGAAAGTGACCAGGCTGTTGCCAGTATGGGAAAATTCCCAGGCAGAAAATATTAAATAATGGCTTAAGGGAAGCCAGTTAACATGATGAAAAAGCAGAGAATCACTTCAATATCTGAAAAGATAATTTTAACAAATAGATGGAAGCAATGTAACAACCAAAAATTAATTTTCAAGAAGGAAAATATAGTCAGTGAGTTTAAAACTGTGATACAAAGCTTCTGAGTCAAGAAAGGTCAAAGACAAGAAGGCATTGGTGAGCTTGAGGACAGGCTATTGAGACACACATAGAGGAGGAAGGGAAGGTGAAAAGGAATAAAGAAAGCTTACCAAAACTTTGGGACAGTTTGAAAATAGCAACGTTTATGGTATTGAGGCACAATAAGTACTTGAAATTGTTATGGGAAAGAAAACTAATTCAAAGAAATACTAACAGAAATTATAACAGATCTGAGATGGATATGAATATCCAGGAAAAGGAAGGTCCCTGGTCATGAGTAAAATATAACTCAATGAACTCTCACCCAGCACATCTTGTAATAATGGTCTAATACGTGAAATAAGAGAGTTTTCCAAGACTGCAAGAGGATAGAGAGTAATGAAAAACATGGTTCTTCACTTTGCATGACAGCTGAGTTCTCAGCTGAAAGCTTATAGGGCAGGGGAGAGGCAATGGGAAATTCACAGTAATAAAGGAAAATCCTGAAAAAAATGAGAATGCTATATCCAGTGATACTATCCATTGAAATTTAAGGTAAAAAGATTTTCCCAGGTGACCAGAAGTCAGAAAACATATCTGCCAAAGCCTGCTAAATAGGAAATGCTCCAAACTGAGAGAGCTAGGTGGTAGTAAGTGTGAGGACCAATAGGAAAACTTAAACCTTACCTGGAAGGGAAATACTGACAGATGCAAAATGGAATCCAAATTTTATAATATGTGAATAACAGAGGATCACTGGAGACTTTTTTATTAATATATTTTTCTTGTTTTTAAAATTTGTTGTGTCTGTTCTTATACTAATAATCACATGAAGTTATTAAGTGCTTAAAGGCCTTTGATAATTAGGTGGATTTGACATTCCAACAGGTGTGTATGTTTGAAAAACTCAATGGATTTAAAGATGTTTCCAAGTCAGGCTTTATCTATGACTGCATCAATAGAATTGCATTTAAATAAGCATTCAGCTGATTGGTCAACTTTGTGTTGTACAGAAAAACACATAATTTTAACATTCAATTAAGAAAATAAAATAAAAAATAAAGATCTTAGTGTAAATGGCAGGTAAAGTAGAGCAGTAACCAATCAATGATGACTGTCAAGTGTTCACAAGAGTGGCCAAGTTCTTATGGCTTGATAAACATTACTCAAATTCTCTAAATTGTATGAGTCATTATTTAACACTGAACAGAATATAACAAACCAAATAACCACAGTTTAGGCTATATTAGTCATGGTTGTAATAAAAATAATTACCTTACAATAAAAATTTACATTTACTATGCAAGAAAAATGGGAAACAGGTTGCTTATTACTATTTAGTATAAATACGTCTTAAGTTCTGTCTGAAGTGACAAATGTGTGTTCTTCACAAGAATACAGCTCTGACAAAACAGAAACCAACAGATCTCTGTGATATATTGCCTCAATTAACCTGTAGTTTATAAAATTTATTCACAAGTGTTCTTGACTTTACCTTTAATGCAACTGTAAAAATGCCCTTTCAATAAAATAAAAAAAATTAAATGACCCAAGAAGAAAGGAGGAATAGCTCAAGCAGCAGAGTGATACCCAACCTGAGGCCTTAGGATTAATAGTCAATACCACAAAGTAAGTAAACAAATAAAATAAAGCAAAATAAAATGACACAGTTCTTGGCAAGGTGGTGCAGCCATGTAAACCCACATACTCCACAGGCAAGCACAGGTGAACAGCAAGTTCCAGTTCATCATAAGCAAAGGTAACAAGATTTATTTTCACAAATACAAAATATAAATCAAGTCTGGAAGAGAGTAGATGAGATAGGACATGGTCTTAACATTCTGGAGATGCTGGCTCAATTCCATAGAATCCATACTACTAAAACATGCACAAGAATACTGCAAAAAACACATGAATTGGTATAGATCATAAGGTAAGGCAGGGAGCGAGCAATGGTTGCCTCTGCTGACTATGTAATACCAATTTTAGACTTCTTTCTTATTGAATCATGACTTCATAGGGAATCCAAGAAAAGGGAAGTGTTTAGGAGTTCATGAGAGAAAGAGGCCCTGTATTTTGGGTCCTACCTATAGGAAGAGCCCAGCTGTTAACACAAGCTTCCACAGCTTATTGGCTCCTATTGGTAGAAGTTGCTTACATCCCAGCCTAAGTCATGGTTGTTCTGTATATTGATTCCTTTTCAATAAAGCTTTTGCCTCCAGGTAGCCCAATGACTTGGACATATTCCAGTAAGATGAATTGGAAATCCAGATTAATGTGAGAGAGATTTACTAATTCTTACTCTCAGTAAACACTGTGAATGACAAAAGGGCAGTAGCTGAAGGACAACACAGGTGACAGACATGGGTGACACCTCTGGAAGTGTCCTACAGAGGAAACATGGAAATGCACAAAACTCAAGAGTTTGACCCTGAGACACAGATCTGGGATTTCACAATCTGGTCACATAGCCATTGACAAATTATGTGTGGGCAGGGAGGGACACCAGGCCCTTTTGTTCTCTGGATAGTAGTACAGACTCCCTCCCTAATGACCAGAGTTTCAAGAGATCTCCCTGTAGGATCAACATGTTACTTATGAAATTATAGATAGGTAGGTACAGCCCCCACTACTCTTCCTCTGTTATGTCCAATGTGCCTTGGTCAGGAATAAGATTGTGATATTGGAAGTGTCCTCATGTTATTCTGGAAAGGATGAATCTTGGTTCCCATTTAGATGTGCAGAAACAAGACAAGATGTGACTACTTTGTTTTGGTTCAAAAGTGCCTGTATCTAAACCAGTGAGGGCCTGTCTTCAAAATCTTTGGTTACAATGAGGTCTCTGAGTCTTGTTGGCAAATCAATTACCTGTGAATGAAAATTCTTTAACCAGCTCTCTACCAAATTTCATGATACTAAACCAGATAACAGAGAGCTGCTGCCTGAAAAATAAGAATAGATTTAGACCACAAGCATGTGGAAAAATTTCTAAGTTTGTTTCAAAGGTTGAGGAATGGGGCCAAAAACTGATTAGCAAGTGGCTATCAAATTTGAATTATGACATCCTTTTATGCAGGCTACTTATTGTGAATGATTTTCCAAAAATATTGTACCACTATGAGTTCAGTTGTTTAAATCCAGGGATCACCTGAGGAGAACATGGGAAGTGGGACATAGAATGGTAATGGTCCACATTACATATACAATTGTCATCTGGGGGATAAGGCGGTTTAGCCAGATTCCCTATTTCTCAACGCCAATGGAATAGAATCATATTGTGAATAAAGCACAGGACAGAAGCATTTTCTCCAGTCCTTGATGGTTCTGATGCTGCTGTCTTGGATCAGATGATGTCTTAGAGCAAGAGAATATCCAATTATTTTGTAACAATAGTAATTAGACAATGTAACAAAATTCCAGGAGTCTTAGGAACCAAATCTCAATAGAGTTAGAGGAAAGAACATGGGAATTGTGCTAGAAAGAGAACTTGGGAAGCAAAACTCAGAGCCAGATGGGTGAGAGAGAGGGGCTGGATCCACAGAGAAGAGACTGGAGTGGCAGAAGGTACAGCTGGGGACAGGATGGTAAGGACACTCTCTGACCTGTTTCCATCAATAATTATAGGTCACGTGTTCTTTTATTACAGATGTAAATACTGTTAAGTCTTGAAGACACATTATGTGTGTCTTCACAGGAGAACCGAAGAATTCTGACTTCAGTCCTTGTGCACATTTAAAGAAGTCTCACCTCATGCAAATTATTATTCAAGTTCAGGTTAAATTCCCCTATTGGGCTAGGGGATTGCACAGCTCTCTCCTCACACAGAGCTGAGTTCTCTTTGGAAGGAAGGGCTGTGGTCTAGAAGATGAGATTGTTGTGTCTTCTCCTGTTCCTGATGACAGCTCCACAAGGTGAGTGTTCCCAATGTCACATATTTGGCCATGGGAGGTTTGATGGCAGGTGACTAACATGGAATATTCTCCTTGTCCCTAGGTGTCTTGTCCCAGGTGCAGCTGCAGGAGTCAGGACCTGGCCTGGTTAAGCACTCACAAACCCTATCTCTCAACTGTGGTGTGTCTGGAGTCTCCATCACAACCAATCCTTACTTCTGGGACTGGATCCGTCAGTTCCCAGGGAAGAGTCTAGAGTGGATGGGTACCATATGTTATTATGGTAGCACAAGCTACAGCCCATCCCTCCAGAGCCGCATCTCCATATCTAGAGACACATCCAAGAATCAGTTCAACCTGCAGCTGGGCTCCGTAACTACAGAGGACACAGCCATGTATTACTGTGCAAGACACACAGTGAGGGAACTTCAGTGTTTACCCAGACATAAACCTCCTTGCAGGGACCCTCAGGACCACCAGGGTTCATTCAGGACACACTGAGCACAAGGCCAACCCCTGGAGCAGGAGCTCTCAGATGCATGAAGTTTTTCCTGAGTCTGTGTCTTCTACCAGCCAGCTTCTGTCTTGAGGCCACCATGCAGAGCAACTGTGGAGAAGTTCCTGTCTCACACTGTCAGATATACTTCTCTTCCTGTCTGACATACTCTGTCTCAGAACATGCTCCACCATAATATTTGTTAAGGATGTGTAAGTTTTCAATGACTCTAGGATTTCGTGACATTAAATGTCACATTTACAAAAAACATAATGCACATCAGATTCTCTTCCACCCTGAATGTTCTCTCTTCACGAGTCCCTCCCAGCCTCCTCCATAACTGCCTTTCCTTAGACAATGTGAGCACTGCTGTGTATGCTGAGATTCATGTCCACATAATAACAGAATTTCTTTCCATGTAGGACCTCTGACAATGTGGGGGACAATTTTCAGTGTCACAATTGAGGACAGGTTCTCCTTTCTGCTAACATTTTTATAGACCATCCACCTACACACACTTCCAACAATCACAGGACAGTGCCCAGAAGAAGCAATTATCTGAACAAAATGAAAATAGTCTGAGTGTGAGAAACTCTGACATTCGTCCCTGAAAAGGATCATGATCATAGAAATGTGTAATTTCAGAAAGCATATTGATACATATAAATAATCTTCAGTTTTGTGGTTAAAAATGCACACACACACCCGCACACACACACACACACACACACACACACACACACACACACACACACTACAAGTCCTTAGAGACCAAGGTGCCACTCTTCATGCTGGTGTAACATGGCATGTGGACAGTGGTCTTTGGTCCTGGGTGAGAATGGAGTTTCCCTGGTAAGACCCAGGGTAGGATCTTCTGTCATGGTCTACACAGACTCTGTAACCTAGAGGTCAGCTCTGTCTGTGTCTGGCCTTAGACCCTGAAGACATGCTGTGGTCAGGACAACCTTAACTCCTGTTCTGATGTGAGGTGATCAGGATCCAGAAGACTGAGGACACATGGGTGTCATGAAAGTGTGACTTGGTTGACTCCCAAGGTTTCCAGGTCTTTGTAGCAGGATTCCTAAGCATCACAAGTGCATAGCCCATTGGTTCCTCAGTTCAGCGTCATAGTCAGTGCATGCTGTATCCTAAATTTTGAAGTTACAATCTGGCCTAGGATGTACATCTGCTTTAAATTATTTTTAATTCCACAACTATCCTAAGCTACTCTTCATTCTTTTCTAAAACTAAATCAGTTTGAACCATTATAAAAATATACATTGAAAATTTATTGCTCTAACAATTTTTTCATTAAAATTCAGAAGACGTGATAGTTTGAATGACTGAATTTTTAAATAACTTCTACCACTCTGTAGATCTTCTTAATCATTATTATATTAAAATGAATTTCCTTCCTACATAGTGGATAGAGATGAAAATACTGTGAGTTGTATCTTCTGCTTTACATTTATTCTGGTTTTCTTCCTGCTATATATAAACAAAACTTTCCACTTATTATGATGGTTCAGCTTTCAAAAATCTTATCATTAATTTTCAAAAATCTTATCAGTAATTATAGATTGTTCAATATATTGTTTTAAATGAAAATGACAACACATTAATAATGCAGGTTTCTGTTCTAGAATAATTTTGATTTTCTTTGTTACCTGAAAATTATTTCTAAGGTATTGGGGTTACAACTTAATGCTTTCACCTTGAGAAGACTATGCTCTACCAATTGAATTTCACCTCCAGCCTTCATCAAAATCTTCTCAGAATTTGAGCTGGAAGATATGTTTATCTAATTCCATATATTTAACACATGCTTGGAATCAGAAACCATTAAATGTGGCACTGGCACATAGTTTTACTTCCTCACTCAAGATTTTTATGTGTGATTATAGTATTTATTTAATGTAAATATATTTATATTTGGCTTATCAAATTTGAATGATGAGTACATTTGAAACTACCTGAATAAAAATACTCAGTTGTATTAGGCCATCTTTTAAAGATAATTGGGTTTGGTATATATATATATATACTTGAAAAATTTATTATTCTGTCTCTAACAGAGACACAGATCTGCAATTTAATTTATTTTAATTTATTCTTTGTTCTGGGGATGGAAAACATGCCCCCATGCATATTAAGTAAGTGGTCTGCCACTGAGCTAATTCCTTGTTTCTTATTTGTATTGATGTAATATTAAATGATAGAGTAAAATATTTGTTATTCTCTTTGGATTTTGAACCTCACAAACTGTGAGTTACACAAAGTTTTTCATAAGAATTTTCTTACAGTGATAGACCTTGCAACTTTCTATAGATAATTTGTTGATAGCTGTCATCATAAAGATGTTAAATGTCATTGAATGACTGTTCTGCCTCTATGGAAATGGTTGTATCAGTTTTGCTGTTACTTCTACTGATGAGATGTGTTGTACTTGTTCACTTGCATGAACAGCTGAACCTCTGGAACAGCCCAGTGATAAATCCAACTTCAACATTACTGTTAATACTTTGATGTGCTTATGGTTCATTGTATTACTGTTTTGTTGAGAATATTTTATTGACCTGCAGTTTTCATTTGTTTGTATCCCTTCTTGGTTTCAGTATTAGGGCAGTGTTGATCATAGAATTAGTTTGTCACTTCCATTCTTTACAGTGATTTGAAACAGTTTTAGAACTGGAGTCAGTTTTTCTTTAAATGTTTTCTAGAAATCACCTTTGGAGACATAAATCTTAGACACTTCTGTGATGGCAGTGGATTTGCTGCTGCTTAAATCCTGTTCATGATTATCAATATTTTTGCATTTTCCTTACACCATCTCCACATTTGCATTCGTGTTAACTTCTTATTACATAAAAGTTGAACAAGGTACTTTCACATTTATATCAGTGCATTCCCATTTATTAAACTCCAGACATTATCAGAAAATCATTAGTTCTTCACTAAGCTCCATTCAGACTTTAAATGGCCTCACGATGTCATGTTACATTAGGTCTTGGCACTGTGGTACCTCTGTGGGTGGTGACACCTGTGTGTCCAACTGTCTTCCAAGTGATTAGTCTACAAATAACAAGCATTCAGGTTGTGGCTGAATTCAGGTCAAGTGCTTCATTTCATATCTTCTCTCAACTGTTAGTCCTTTACAAAATCTGAATGTTGATCCCTCCAACTCTTGGGATTAACAGAGAATTTTCTATCTAAGATACTCATCTGTACATCCATTACCTTCCTGTACTCATAGCCTCATGTGTGGGCTATGTTTCAGGCTGATGAATTAGAGACATGGATTAATGTGCAAGAGATGTATTATGAGTTTCTATCTAGATAAACTATTAAGGATGTAGATCAGCAGGCCAGGGAGAGGGAAGATGTCAGTCATAGGAATCACCTCTGCTGAGCCAAATAGGGCAGCCTCATCCTGCCCACAGAAGAACTGTGAAGGTGGACAAGCCTCAGGTTTTCAGCGAAGTCAGGGAACTGGGACCTGACATACTCCCTCTCACAGCCATTGTCAAATGCCTGCACTGGGCTGAAAACTTACTTAACATCACTTGAATTCAAGAGAAGTAGCAATTCAGTGGCACAGGAGAACCAAAGGATTCTTGAACTCAAACCCTTCCCATATATGAGAAGATGACTTCCAACATGCAAATTCCTGTTCAGTGTCTGGGTTAAATCACTCTCTCAGGCTGGGGAGCTCATGGCTTTTTCCTCACACGGGGCTGATTTCTCTGCCAGAGGGGGAGCATTGTATTATAGAAGATGAATCTGTTGGTTCTTCTCCTTTGCCTGGTGACAGATCCGAAGTTTGGGTGATTCAATGTTACACATGGGTCCATGGGGATGTTGTGAATGCAGGTGACTGAATGGAATGATCTCCTTGTCCCCAGGTTCCTTTACAAGGTTCAACTGCAGGAATCAGGCCGCAGTGTGGTGAATCCTTGCAGACCTTGCATCTCACCTCTTCTCTACTTGTTTACTACATCACCAGTGGTAACTGCTGGTACTGAATCAGCCAGTCTACAGGGAAGATTTTGGAGTGGATGGGGTACATATGCATGATGGTGACACAAGGTGAAGCGCATCCATCTAGAGCTGCATCTCCATCTTTTATAAGATAGGTTAAAATAAAACAACTTTTTCCTGTAGCTGGGCTATGTGACCACAAAGGACACAGTCATGTATTACTGTGATAAATACACAGTGATACGAATTCATTGAGAGCCAGACACAATCCTCCCTGCAGAGGACAGGAACCTGCACTGCAGGAATCACTAAAGGCTCACCTAGGTCTGATGGTCAGCACAGAAGCAGGTGCAGAAGGTACTGCCACAGACTCTTTTTGTGTTCATTTTTTATTTCTTCTCCAACATCACACATGCCACTAGACACATCACTTTCTTTGTTTTGGAATCTTGTCCTCTCACATATTCTGTGAAATTAAAGGAAGAAATGACTTTCTCTGCTTATGGATGAGATGGCACAGGTCACCAATGCAATCTAAAAACACAATGCCCTTACTTTGCATCTTCCTTCAGACAGGTGAACACCAGTTTCAGGTGGACAGTGTAAGCCCTCCCCACCCTGGTCCCTCAGGTCCCAGGTGCTTACTGGATTTTGAATCTCGTGCTCCATGTGAACACTAAATGTGGAATATCTAAGTCTGTTCTCCATTTATTAATCAGTTATTTGTTCCCTTGCAATTAAATAGTTAAGAGTTTTTTATTTATTTTAACATAGTATCCTAATGAGTAGGTTTTTCAATAATTACCTCATAGTCTATGAATTGTCTTCACATTATAATTCCTCCCTTTGCTGTAAAGAAGCTGGGCAACATGATGAAATCTCATTTGACATTTTTGATATTTGTTCCTATGCTTTTGGGATCTGTCATTTTTTGTCAGTGTTGAAGATCCATCTCAATGACGGAGGGTGCAGAGAGACTTCCACACAAGTCCTCAAGTTTCTTGTCAGTGTCATGGAAAGAATTCAG